ATATATATATAGGATTGGATACCAATTATAAAATTATTGTTACATAAACATTTAAAAACCCCACATCCCTTTAAGTGAAGGAATGTATGTTTATAGCAATGATTAATATTACCATCTTTAGAACCAGTGATTTGTCTATAAAAATAGTTTAGCTTAAAACAACTATCATCAGAAATGATGGGTTTGCCTTTTTTAAAGGTATCAAATATTGACTAACTTAATCATGATGAACAAGTAGGCAAGTCAAAACAAAATGTAGATATTTATTAAAGGTAGGTGATCACCAGAAACAATGAATAGCTGCTCATAAAATTCCTGGTCATGGTGGCTGGAAATTCAGGAAGATATAATCTCAAAAGCTCTAGAATATGAACATGCTGAAGAGGTTATCACAGACAGTTCCCTGAATGTATAATTAATCAGCTGAGGTATCTTATGGACCAAGAGCTTAGTTGATGAGAATGTATGCATTGGACATTATTTCTGGTGTTGAATTTGTATTGAATAACAGACAGTGTTTGAAATTGTGATTTACTTCAGTATAATGTATTTTGATTAACTAAGCCTATACAATCATAATTAATATTAAATTTATATACTGCTATTTAAGGAATCACTTTTTCTAAAGATTTATTGCTCAGTAAATACCTACTTGCTTAAAGTATAATCTGCTTGTAGAATTTTATTTGGAATGCTTATACTACTCAGGGATTAGGAGAAATAATATGATTCATATTGAATTACAACAATAAAGCAACATAAAGAAGTTTGTGATGTTACTTGAAAATGCACATGCCCTTACGTTAACTATTGTCCTTCTTTTTAAAAAATCAGTACATTCCTCCCACTACCTTTATAAAAAGATGAGAGTGGGTGGGTGGGATGTGATCAAAAATTGTCTGCCTAAGCTTCCATCTGAAAGTAGGGGGGGATATAGCTTTGTTTCATATTTTACATATACAGCAAAATTATATTATTGAAAATATTAAGCATATTGCACACGTAAATGGCCAATCAATATATTTCATTTATATGTTCTGCTGTCTTATATGTTTCATTTACACAAATACATCATTATAGATTTCAGTATGCCCTGATAACATAGAAAAACGCCCTTTTACAATATTTTAACAAAATGCATTGCATATTTCTAAAGTGGGATAACAAGAAAAACAAAAATAATTATGCATTCTTTAAATCGCAAGTTACAGATGTTGTTTTTAACAAGTATATAAGCGAACATATTGTAAAATAAGCAAATACTGTGATCCATTTTCCATTCCACTGAAATCTCATACCAAAGCAGTTTTTTTAGTTTTCTTTTTTTAAAAAGAATTCAATGGCAAAATGTTGTACAAAACAAAGCCCTTCACAAGCTTCAGTCACCCAACGCATCCCAAACAGAGGTGGTATTCAAACAGGTTCTGAATAGTTCTGGAGAACCAGTAGCGGACATGCTCCCATCTATTCTCTGCTTCCGAGTCCCAGCTGTTCGGGAGGAAATGGGGATTTTGCAGTATCCTTCTCCTGGAGTGGGATGGGAATGGAGATTTTACAGTATTCTTCCCCTGCCACACCCACCAAGCCATGCCTCACCCACCAAGCCACACCCACCGAACTAGTAGTAAACATTTTTGAATCCCACCACTGAGCCCAAATTGCCTACAGTAGAACCTCTGGTCACAAATGCTTCTGACAACGACCAAATTGGATTCCAACCAAAAAAATAACAATTTTTTTTCATGGCCGTTTTCCCCTTCCGTGCCATTTTTTAAAAATTTCCAAAATTAGTTTTGGGTCATGACCAAATTAGTTTGAGACCAAAATTATGGAACAAAATTTGAAAGGAACTTGAGAAAGCTTTACAATTGAGCTAATATTTATACAATTATTCCTCCTGATTGATGAGAACATTAGTGCTCTTATTTCCACCATGTGGTCATATGTTGACTGAAATGGAGAAAGATTAAAAAAATAGTAGACAATGGAGCAGAAATTCAGATACAGTTCAAGTGATGCAATGACCTGGTTGAACCACGTACTGTATATAATACCATGTAACAGTCTCGATTCACATCCAATTCTGAGTAATTTCCAGAATATTCCAGAATTGTGAGAACTGTCCTGAAGTTTCTAGAATTGGCCAGAATTTTCTAGAACTTTCTAAAATCTTTTAGAAATTTCTAACACTTTCTGGGATTATCCAGGAGTATCCATAGAAGTATAAAAGTACAAGTGCCCAAAACCAATTAGTTTGTCTAATTCCTGAGTAAGAGAATAGTGAATCTGATTTAGATTGCATTAAAAGGTTGCTTGCACCCAACAGATGCATTTTGCTACATGTGTGGACAATTTATCAAGACAAAAGTGAAAAAGCACTCCATGAAAGCATCTGTTAAGATGTGTGAAACCTACAAAGCATAATTCAGCATCCCTGTCGGGAATCAAGACAACCCCCTGGGCATATCATTTCACATGCAAACACTGGAACAAAACTTGAGGGTAAAGTGAAAAATAGCTGCTCACTAGATGGAATTTCATTGATTTATTACAAAGTAAGAGTTACAATTAAGAAAAATTTCACTATTTTTAGTGTTCTACAATATATAGTTTATACCTTATAGCAGTGATGGCTAACCTTTTTGTTGTTGGATGCCAAAAATGTGAGCGTGCGCATGCAATAGCGCGCGCACGTGCAAGCACCCATAATGCAAATTACTCCCCACATGAGCATGCATGCACAAACCCCCCTACATGCACCACACTGCTCACCTACAAGCTGAAGTAGGTATTTCCTCTGGTGGAGCCGAGGGAGGCCGTTTTCACCCTCCCCAGGCTCCAAGAAAGCCTCAAGAGCCTGGGGAGGGTGGAGAAAGGGGCCCAACCAACCTACTGGAAGTTTGGTAGGCCTGTTGGGCCCATTTTCCACCCTCCCTAGGCTTTGGAGGCTTTCTTAGAGCCTGAGAAGGGTGAAAACAACCTCCCTCAGCTCCCGGAAGCCAAAACCGGATCACTTCCAAACTTCCTTTAGCCCGGTTGGGCCCATTTTTCATCTTCCCCAGGTTCT